GGATTAAATTTTTGCGGGAGGGGGGGGCAATTTTTTGTCGCTACGCTACTGATATATATATATATATATATATATATATATATATATATATATATATATATATATATATATATATATATATATATATATATATATATATATATATATATATATATATATTCTTTTTTTACCTGAAATATGCAAATATTTTTTTGCAGTGAAATTCTTTGCAAGTAACATAAAAAAAGAAGTGATTAAAGACCTGCTTGTTATGATGCAAGTATGCATTTTAAATGTATAGTTGCATATACTTGCATATAAACTGTTTATATAAACATATATAAACTGTTTCAATGCATATAATTACATATTTATACTTAAAAAAATAGGAGAAATTTTAGCATAAGAGTATTGTTTTTTTACAGCATTTTTTTATTTTTTTGTTGCAATATTCAACAAACTCAGTACAAAGTATAATAAATTATTTTCATTTAAAAACAATCTCTAAGCAATTTAATTTGTAGGATTATTATTTGTAGTTATTAGTTATGTTAATATTAATTAGATTCATCTGACTTACTAAATATTTACAGTTAAACGAAACCTGTAAAGTGCAAAATATAAATAACTTTTGGAAAGGAATGGTGTTAAGTCTGGAACATCTTCAACACATAAACTAATTAAGGAAAAAGTTCCTAAAGTAGTCCTATATTACATTTGCAGGTTGCTCATTATTTGCGTGGTGTTTCTGTTACACTATTATTATAGATTTTTTACTTAAGTATACAGAGCAAAACTTTTATCTGCAACCAGTCTTTGCACAACTTATGCTAAAGAATTGTGCAAATATTGTATTGAAACTATTTTAAAAATTAGCAACTCTTGTTTGTGAATGACAATAGATGGAAACAATTCTTTTGGGAGATCAATAGTTAGTAAGTTTTGCTGTAACTGGCTAAGTAAGCCAGTGAGTATGACTTTAATGATACTGTGTTAGCCTAACACAGTATCCTTAAAGGCATGTTGTCAACTTATTTCTTATGCAGCGGCCTTGTCTGTTGAGGTTCGTTATAGAAAAGGTCGTTCCCACAAAAGTAGCCTCCTCATCTGTAGTCGGTGTAGAGGTGAATAATTAAAAATATATATATCACAAACAATATTAGCAATTTAGCTGATTTCTGGTACTGCAGGTAAATGTAACATAAAAAGGGTTTAGTATCAAAATACTTTTGTATTATAAAAAATATTTGTATGTAAAATTTTATATTATAAAAATGTTTTATATGATAAAAAAAACTTTGGTTTTAAAAAATTTTTGAAGAAAAAATATTTTTAAAATCCCTCAAGACCCTTATACATATAACGAGTTCCTAATATTATCAACAAAAAAATCTTTAAAAGTGTATCTTGACATTTCGTATCAAATTAAGCGAAATCATGAAAATTTCAAATATGATAATTATATTTTAAAAAATTAGTAAAAAAAAAAAAAAACTGCCAAAAATTAATAAAAAAGGAACATTTTTCTTTTTTAGTTAATAAACTTCATTTTTTATGGTGTTAAATCTAACATTGAAATTTTCATATAATTTTGCTTCATTTGAGACCAACATGATACACTTAAATATTTTTTTAAAATAATATTAGGAACTTGTCATGTTCAAGGGTCTTGAGGGAGTCCTCAAAATATTTTTTATTTAAAAAATTTTAAAAACCAGTTGATTTTATTATATAAAACACATTAGGTGGATGGAAACATATATTGTTCAAAAATGTTCATTTTAGGAAAATCCTATAAAATAGGTTCTATATTGATGATATATTGAAGTGTTTTTTACTTTTATTATTTTTGTTACTATATATATATGTATATAAATATATATATATATATATATATATATATATATATATATATATATATATATATATATATATATATATATATATATATAGTCATAAAAATAATACATAACAATATAATCAATGAAATTGCACTTTGATATATTAGGAAAAAAAACCTAAACATAGCGCTTTTTACTAATATCTAAACAACCGTGACTTGACTATTTCTTTCTAGTTAAATAAAAGTGTGAAAATATCAGAATGATTAGAATAGTAGAAGTGGTCGAAAAATTGATTACAAGATTTGACGCATACAAAATACAAATATTGTGAGTTGAATAAAAGTGTTTTGAAATCTTAAAGGTTATATATTCTTCTGTTTCATATTAAAAAAATTAAAACAGAGTCATACAAGTGATAATAAAACAAGAACACACTCCATATTTAATAAGTTTTATTAGCAAATAGTATACCTCACAAAGGTTTATAAGTTTAAATTAATTTTTAGTTATTATAAACGCTTTTATTTCATAGAAAAGTATTTTCTTTTAAAGTTTCCTTAATTTTGGAGAATAGTATATATTTATGTGCGGCCATGGCGCAGTGGTTATAGCGCTTGCTTTATAAGCAGGAGATACAGGTTCAAAACGAGCCTTGGACTTATTTTAGCCTCACGGTAAGGAAGAACACGTGAATTTCCTGGTTAAATGCACTTCCGCGGTGCCCGGTGACAAGTCTTCCTGGGGTACCTAAATAACAACAACAAAAAAAGTGTGCATTTACTAATATGTAGTTTTGTATATTGTCATCTAACGTTATTTTGTATATAATTTTATTTATTGTATACTATATTTATCAATGTTTACTCATGGGCGCCCGAAGGACGTTTAGATATTAGGGATCGTCCATAAAGTACGTTCGCTCGGAGAGAAAGAGGAGGTCTGCAAATGGGGTTTCTGAGATAAGAGGGCAGTTGGTCAATTATAAAAGTATGGAGACACTAAATTAAAAAAAAATCATAAAATGTTGGGTTAGTAGGTTAAAAGCGTAGGTACTTTTATGAAGGTAGAGAGTACTCAAAAAAGCGTACGGCAAATTGTGGGGGGAGAGGGGGGGGGGGTTAGCGGAAAAAAAGCGTACATACTTTATGGATGACCCTTTAGTAAATAGCGCTATTTTAGGTGCGCATGCCTAAGAAAATACAAAAAACTTTTGAACTTTTAAAATGGCTATGGTTCTTAACTACAGAGAATATTTTATATAGAATAGAATAGAATAGAAAGGTGCTGTACCTACTTGAGGTGTGTAGAGTCTTAATTACGTAGAATTAAGACTATGACAGCCGATTACAAAAATTAGTGTTCAGAAACCGAAATAGTTATCGACACTGTTTTTAAAAATGTTTAAATTATCTTTATCTAATATCCATTGTGGAAGAGAATTCCAATCATTTATAACTCTGTTTGTAAAGAAATGGTGACGAATTCTTGATTTTGTAAATTGTCTGCGTATTCTACAATTGTTACTTCTACTAGATCGCACCAGCTCAAAATTTAAAGGAGGTTGGTGAAAATTAACAATATCTTTCCCTTTTGAGATCTTATACATTTGAATCAGATCACCTCTTCTTCTTCTATCAAACAAAGTTGGCAATTCAAGTATCTTTAATCTTTCTTCATACGACTTCCCCCCTTAAAGATTCAATTCTCGTAGCCCTGTGTCGCACGATTTTAAGATTGTCAATTTTCTTTTTTCTAAAATGGACTCCAAACTGTTGCTCCATATTCCAAATGGGGACGTACTAACGATTTGTATATTAACTTTAATGAAAATTCATCCAAATACTCAAAAGAGTTTTTGATCATGCCTAATTTTCTGTTTGCTTTACCTATAGCTGAATTAATATGATATTTCCACTCTAGATTATTTGAAAAGAAAATCCCAAGATCATTTTCTATCATTGTTTTTGTTAAAACAGAGTTGTTCAATTTATATTCATATCTTGGATTCTTTTTGTCAATATACATGACTTTACATTTTGATTCATTAAATGTAATTAACCAATCTTCAGACCATTTAACTAACCTGCTAATATCCTCTTGTAATATTTTATTATCATCATAACAATGATTGATTGAAATAACTTTGGTATCGTCTGCATATAATTTAATGTCTTTAATAATCCCTCTACATAAGTCATTAATGAAGATTACAAACAAAAGAGGTCCGAGTACTGAACCTTGTGGTACTCCACTTGTAACCATCTTCCAACTTGAAATATATTTCCCTATCACAACCCTCTGTGTTCGGTCTGACAAAAATGATTTACACCAATTTAACAAAGATGATTCAAATCCTAGTCTGAATAATTTTTTCAGTAATTTCGTGTGAGAGACTGAATCAAGCTTTTTTAAAATCCAAAAATAAAACATCAACGGAAATATCCTCTTCATACGCTTGCGTGATTAAATCTAATGTTTCTAACAGGTTTGTTATACAACTTTTGTTATTAACAAAACCATGTTGCTCTTTAGAAATTAAATTGTTTTCAATGAGGAACACCATCATATGATCTTTAATAATTCTCTCCATAACTTTACCAACAATTGATGTTAATGAAACCGGTCTATAATTTGTTGGATCTAGTTTATTTCCTTTTTTGAATAACGGAACAACGTTTGCACATGACCATAACTTTGGAATAAATCCTGTAATAAACGATTTAACAAATATTATTGCTAAAGAACTTGACAAAGATTCTGAACATTCCTTTAAAACTTTTGGGTGAACATTATCTGGACCTACTGATTTGTACATATTTAAATTACTCAAATGTTTCTGAATAATAGAAATACTAAAATCTGGATCAGAACATTTTGTTAAAAGATTGTCGTCTAAAACTTCTTCTGATGAATCATCTTGTATAAACACAGAAGCAAAGAATTCATTAAGAGTGCTTTCTATCTCTTGATTATCAGTAGTTATAATACCATTATGTAGCTTTATGGCTTTGATCGAGTCTTTAAATCTTGTTTTGTTGTTTATATAAGCATAGACACTTTTAGGATTGTTTTTTGAATTAAGTGCCAAGTTTTTTTCAAAATTGCGAATACTTTTCTTGACAAGTTTTTTTATATCTTTATTTAATTTTTTATACTTACTGACTTCTAAAAGACTTTTAAAACCTGAATTTCTGTTTCTAAACCAACATTTTTTCTTTTCTTTACACATGCTTTTAAGTTCACTTGTCATCCATAGTGAGTTATTTTTTAGTTGAAAAGAGTTTTTATCTAAATTTAGCGTTGGGATATATTTTTCACATCCTATTTCATATTTTCTTAGCCATTTTTCGTAACATTCATTAACACTTAGTCCTTCAAATTCATTTATCCAGTTTATTGAAATACAAATCTATCGCTTTATAGTTTCCAATTTTCCACAAAAAAATTTTCTTCCTCGTTTGTAGTGATATTGATAAATTAGGTTTATTTTCATAACCAAATCGAAATTTCAAAATATGATGACCATGATCGATACCACCTAACGGTGGAAAATGTTCAAGAAAATAAACTCTGTTGCTATTATCAGTCAAAATGACGTCTAAAATGTTAGTATCAATACCAAACTTTACTTGAAAACTAGGGTTGATAACATTTTGGTGCAGGTAACAGTCATGTAACGACTCAGTAAACATACTTGCTGTTGTGTCACTGTCATTTATAATTTCACTAAAACTTTCATCGTTCCACTTTATATTTGCATAGTTAAAGTCACCACATATTAAAATACCAGAGCATTTGTTATTTTGTTTGAGTACATATGCTTGTTTTAATGAATTTATAATGTCAATACACTTTTCACTATTACTAAGACCTGTCCGGTACATACAACCACATAAGATTTGCTCTTTGCCAATTTCAATCAAACACCATACTTGCTCAATATTTTCATTTATTAGATATTTTTCATTTATTTCAGAAGATTTAATATTCTCTTGTATATAAATACATACACCACCACCACGACTAAATTGACAATCTTTTCTAAACAGATTATAACCAGGAATATTAGTAGTAGACATTGCTGACCACCAAGTCTCACAAGCAAATATAACTTGAGCTCTAGATCTGGATATATCATCAATGAATTTGTCAAATTTATTATTTAAAGAGGTCGCATTTGTATACCAACATGTTAAATAATCGATACTTTCTGTTTTTAAACCTTTTTAAAGGTCTTGATTCATTTTCTTTACCAGCAGTGTATTAGCACTTGAATTCAAAGGATTACTTCCTCCAGTGTTTGCATCAGGGTTATTTAATTGGTTATATAGATATTGACAAGGTGTATGTAAGAAATGTTTAAAATTATGTGTGTTATACTGTGATGACTTGAACAACAATTGCTATTTGTTTATCAACACTACTTGTTTATTTCTAATTACGTGATAGCTTTTAACTTGGTCCCAATCGACTTTCAGGTTGAGTGGTTTATTTAATTCTCTACATTTATCCCTGAGTTGTTTATCCAAGTTTCTCTGAGCATCAGTTAAATCAAGATTTACATAAATACCATTAAACTTACGGTATGATTTTTTTATAAAGTCATTTCTCGTGTCCTTATTTCTTAACTCGACAATTACTGGTGCAATACCATTTTTAGATTTTAATCTAAAAATACGAACCATATGAAGTTTATCTACTGATACTTGATCCAATAAATCTAATACTTTGTTTTCGTCATTTTTCTTTATATCTGCGCCATCAGTTTTATTGGATTCTTCTAAACCAAAAATAATTACGTTCTTCTCTCTTTGTTCAATTTCTTTATTTTCATTCGAAACTGTATTAATAATATCAATCTGAGATTGAGTTTTATTTAATTTTCTACCTGTTACAATATTATAAGCTTCATTCGGAGCAGGAACAATAACATTTACAACTTTGTTGTTTAAATCTTCATTCTTTTTAGTTAAATCAGCAACTGTTAATACTAATGATTGTATTGTTTTTTTCAAATCTGCTACAGCATTACTAATCTTTGATTCATATTCAATTCTTAGTTTACTCTCCAGTGCATCCAGAGCGTCTTTGAATTCTTTTGCATTAACCATAGTATATTAGTTATAATATAGTTAACCTTATTAACACAAATAGAACTGTTTGTTTATTGTGTTTTTTCCGATATGGCAACAGATTATTTGTTAATTTCTGAAAAGCCAATTATGTAGCTTCAGATAAATATGTTCTATATGTATGATATTTTTCTGGTCATTGCTTCAACTTTTTTTCCATATAAAAATTTGTTATATATATATATATATATATATATATATATATATATATATATATATATATATATATATATATATATATATATATATATATATATATATATACACATATATATATATATATATAAAAATATATATATATATATATATATATATATATATATATATATATATATATATATATATATATATATATATATATATATATATATATATATATATACACATATATATATATATATATAAAAACCGATAGGTTTTATCGCGCATTAGATAAAGGTGGAGAAGTTAAGGCCATCGCTCTTGACATTTCTAAAGCGTTTGATAAAGTTTGGCATGCTGATCTTCTCCATAAGCTTTCTCCTTACGGTGTATCTGGAAACATCTTTAAGATTATCGAATCCTTCCTTTCCAATTGTAGTATAAAAGTTGTCCTTGATGGACAGCACTCTTCTTCTTATTCTGTAACCTCAGGGGTTCCTCAAGGTTCAATCCTTGGCACTATACTCTTTTTAATTTACATTAACGATCTTCCAGATTTTCTCACATCTAAGGTGGCATTGTTCGCTGATGATACTACCGTTTATTGTTGTCACGATAAGAAGCCAACTCCCTCTGATTGCTTACAGGGGGCATCTGAGCTTGAAAAGGATCTCACTTCTGCTACAGCATGGGGCTCACAGTGGCTGGTGAACTTTAATTCAGATAAAACTCAATTTTTTAGAGCCAATCGTTATCGCAACAATTTAGACCTTACTATATTTTTGAACGGTAATGTACTCGATGAGTCTCCTACCCTTCATCTTTTACGATTAACTCTTACTTCTGATCTTTCTTGGAAACTTTATATCAAATCCGTTACAAAATTAGCATCTGCTAAAGTTGAATCTCTTTATCGAGCTCATCACTTTCTTACTCTGGATTCTATTCTCTATCTCTATAAATCTCAAATCCGACCTTGTATGGAACACTGTTGCCATATCTGGGGTGGATCTTCTAATGATGCCCTTTCTCTTTTAGACAAGGTGCAAAAACGAATTGTAAACATAGTTGGACCTACTCTTGCAGCCAACCTTCAACCTCTGTCACATCGTTGTAATGTTGCTTCTCTTTCTCTTTTCTACAAATAATATAATGGGCACTGCTCTAAAGAGCTAGCGTCTCTAGTGCCATCTACTAAATTCTACTAAAAATCTAATAAAATTCATTCTCGTGTTACTCGTCATTCAATTAAGTCTCATCCTTTTTCTGTTACTGTTCCTAAGTGCCCCAAAAACTCTTATTCGTCTAGTTTTTTGCCTCGAACATCAGTTCTTTGGAATTTGCTTTCATCATCTTGCTTTCCTGATTCATATAATTTGCAATCTTTTAAGTCGTCTGTCAATCGTTATCTTGCTCTACAATCTTCATCTTTTATCTTCCAGTAACTTCCAACACTAATTAGTGGTTGCTTGCAACCTTTTTGGAAGTGATGATGTTAAAAAAAAATATATATATACAGTGGTTTTCATAAATTTAGACGCACTCATATTTGAGAATAGAAATTTTTAGTTTTTTGACGATAAAACAATGACGAAAAAAGATTTCGGTTTAGTTTTTTTTCTATTTATCAGATAAATACATACAGAATACAAAATTTAAAAAAAGTTTACAAAAAAAATGAAATACTAAGTAATAATTAGGTACAACTACATGGTATTAAAAAAATTAGACAAAAAAAAATTATTCATAAATTTAGACGCACGATACATTAGAAGGCGTAATTTATGAACCAATCAATATTTTGTGTATCCGTCTTTTGCTTTAATACAACTAAGAACTCTTCTAGGCATAGACTCAACAAGATTTTTGCACATCGCTTCTGGGACCCCCATACCAGGTCTCCTTAAGGAATTCCTTCAGCTGACCAAGTGTGGAAATTTGAACCTTTGCTAATTCACGATCAATCCAAGCCCAAATGTTTTCAATCGGGTTCAAATCAGGTGAATATGGAGGCCACGGTATTGTCATAATATTATTATCGTTGAACCACTCCTTTGTATAGTATGCAGTATGTGCAGTAGCGCTATTTTGTTGAAGTTTCCATGGTTTATCATTGAGCATAAGCAGGTCAATTGATGGAATTAGGTTGTTTTCCAGTACTTCTACGTATATTCTGGAGTTGATTCTTCCGGTGTATGTTTGGCACATACCAACACCTTTGTAATTGAAGCATGTCCAGATTCCTATCGAGCCTCCTCCACTTTGTACAGTTGGTCTAATGTACCTGGCGTAATACTTTTTGTGAGCCATTCTTTTGACTGTCATGTTAGATTTGCGATTGATAAGCTCAAAGTTACTCTCATCACTCCACATAATGTTTTCCCATTGATCTATTGTCCAATACCTTCTTTCACGACACCATTTTAGCCTCCTTTGTTTATCATATGGACGCAGAAGCGGTTTCTTTAAAGCAGTGTAGACTCCAATCTTGTATTTGATAAGTATTCGGCGGACTGTGCTTTGAGAAATAGATGTATTTCGCGTTGTATTGAATTCTGTGGTCAATTCTTTGTAACTAATTCTTGGATTAGCTCTGACAGCTCTAAAAAGAACACTATCGTCCTTTCTCGTGGTTGACAAGGGTCTACCTGGCCTCGTTTTCTCGCTGGGCACCACCAGTGTGAAGAAAGTTTTGTTTCGTTGTCCGAACGCATTTCTCAGAAACTCCAATTAACTTGGCAATTTCTCTATTACTTTTGCTTCCTTCTTTGATGAGGCGCAATAATTTGCCATCTTTCACCTTGAGTGATACGTCTTTTGCCCATTTTTTACGTTTTTTTAGTGCAAAACTAACTTAACTTTTGTTTATTTATTAAATAATAATTAACTAATTCCAGGTAAGTC